AAAACCACGTCGTGGGATGATCTTCCTTTCAAAGACCTCGAAGACCGATTGCACGACTTCGCCCAAGTGGCACGTACTCTCGATAGACCTAGCGATAACCAGAAGTAGAAAACGATTGTTTCTGTCACCCTATCGTGTTAGCATTCAGTATATTCGATCATAACTTAATTCTGAGTTGGTCTTGATGCGTGGATCTTTGTGTCATTTTGATGCGCATGAACCACTTGTGCAGCTTCCATTGCGAATTGGCGCAATTGAGTCTCGAGGTCACCAAAACTAAAGTTGGTGAAGGGTTGGAAGTAGAAATGTTCGTTCTTCGCCGCCATGTCGGCCACACCATAACAAGTCTGGCCCTTAGTAAATCCATCAAGACCTGCATGTACATCGATCCTGTAGTGAATTCTCTTGGAAGTACTCCGAAACGATAGAAGGTGGGTCCAGTAAATTGCGTCAGGATAACCATCATCCTCAGGAGCATCCAAGGTCGGAGCAGGTGTGACAAATCCATTCTTCAATTCCTCCTCAACTTCCTCCATAGTCGGTTTTGTGCGTCCACCAGGTCGAGTGAGCAGCAACTTTTCCTTTACACGAAGAGCAGCAAGAGTCTTGAGATGTACATTCTGACGCTTGGGTTCACCCACAAGTTTACGTGTGTTTCGGTGCAAGAAGAGTACGTCACCGTTCGCATCGTGCTGTACCATTGTCATACCGCAGAACGAATTATTGAAAGCCTTACCAGCAACGGCAGGTGGTGTGTCCATCATATGGAATGGTGCCTTGAGTTTAAGCCACGCCAATCGAAATAAATCCTTATCACCGTGTACCAGTTCGAAAGTCTTGAAGAAGTTCGGCGTATGAAAAATATAAAACTTTACCAACTCCAGTGGAGCCCCATGTCGTCGACGATCAATCACCAACTGTCCGCTCTCCTGCTCGAACATATTCACAAACCGTTGATCGAGTAGCTCCCACAACAGTGACTGACCGTGAACGTTGAAGATTGTATGTCTCGGATGCCAGAAATCGGGCCAGAAGATAGCTCCCTTCTCCTTGAATTCTTGCGTCTCGAACAGGAAACTCGGATCCCTTACTGGCACATTATCCGAATCCAGGAACAAAATCTGCCCGAAATAACTATGATAAATTGCAAAAACCTTGGCGCCAAAGCCTGTGGCCTTCTTGTCGTCAATCTCACGGAACGTCAAATCTGCGTGCGACGCTGCAAGTTGTAGCAAAGGAGCCATCGACCCGGGGGCTGCTTGCATCTCTTTCGGTCGATACCACAGCTCAATTGGTAAGGTGCAGTTTAATATCCCTCTCAATGTTCGAAGCGAAGCGTAGGCACTCGGTACCATCTTCGGGTACACCACCATAACAATTCCCTTGGACCCTCCTCGCCCCTCTTCCACGTGTGGCAACGCGAAACTCGGCATTACTGCCTTGCTCACCGCCTCCTTTGCAATAACCGGAAAATTCACGAAATCCTCAGCGTCAAAGCATCGAAATTGTCCCTCGGATCGCACACTTCGACAATACCGTCGCATGACTCGGAACCTCTCTTTGGTCTGTTTGTCCTCCACCTCGCAATAACCGGATTGCATATGCTCCACCATCATGTGGCACGGTTTGTCTAGATGTGGCAATCTCGGCCCGTGAGGACTGCAACTGTCGGTTGCTCTCCAGCCGATGCATCTGAGTTCGCGAAGTCGGTTCTGACCTGGTGGCAACATTTTGACGGCGCGTGCGTGTTCCTCTGCTTGAGCAATCGCCTCTGCGTCTGACTGAGAGTTGGAGGACTCTTGGACGGCGTCAAAAGCTTCATTTGATGGTAGAGATTTGGACAGTGACGCTGCGCGAGTATGCAGAAGGAAGGCCACAAGTCCACAAACATACAGGAAGCCGGCGTAGAGCAGTAGACGCGGCCAGCGACTGAACATTACATGTCTGGGTGTGCTGGACCCAACATGGCGAGGCAGCGGCGACGACAATACTGGCGATGGAGATGCGGGGCCCGCGCGCAGGCGAGTAGAGCCTTCGGCCATTGTTGCCATGTGCAACACTCGTATGGTATGAGAGTACCAAATCATTTTTAACCAATGGGAAGTCTATGTTTGAGTCTATGTATGTATGACTGGCTTACACCAATCATAATGCAGTTAATTCAATCTGAGCCAGGGAATATCCTATTTTCTGATTGGCTG